CTCACCGAACCAGGTCTCCCTCCATCTCCTTCAGAGACTCTCTGTCACTCTCTGGCGGTTTAATGCCAGTATGTGGCTTGGTCGATTTGATGCCCTTCCTCCCCAAGAGGACGGTCTTCAATGACTGTGACTAATTTGACTAGTTATTAATTGTTGTTAGTTCCATTATTGCTGTTTTTCTCCTTTTCCTCTCCTTTTTTGTTTGTTTTTTTTTTTTAATGTTTAGGGCTTCTCCCCCTTTCTCTTCGCCCCTCTATGTCCCTCCCCTGTTCCTCCCCTGTCCTCTTATAATAATAATAATAATAATAATAATAATAATAATAATAATAATAATAAATAATTTTTAATTTTAATATAAATTTTTTCTTGCTCTTTTAGCTTCGTAAGCGTCCATTGACTACAGCAGAATTCATTCCTTTTCTTGCTAAAATTGATCCGATTTATAGAGAAGAAGAGGAAGCATACAAAGTAAACCTATAATTAGAACTGTTCAGGAACCTTGTTACTAAAAATAGTACAACTGTATATAGTAATTTATAAGTTAGGAACTTTGTTAGTTGTTACTAAAAATAATCTATACACATGTACTGTACATGTAATTATAGTATAAAAATAGAACTAGTATTTTTATACCTTTTTTGTTGCTGTAGGCTTGGTTTAACAAGACTCCTCTTGGAAAGAAGAGAGCTAAAGCTATCAAAGAAGCAATGGGAGAGGATGATGGAGGGGGAGGGAAGAAAGGGAAGGGAAAGGGGAAAGGAAAAGGGAAAAAGAAGAAGAAATAAACACAAAAATACAAAATACACTTATTAAATGTATTGTTGCCTTCAATTACACATGTAATAATGAATGCCTGATGCGTGGGCGGGTATCAATGAATCTACTTATCAACTGATCACAACTCACAAGATCTCGCACAAGATGTCGTTAGAGGACAAGTGTGGGACTGCGTTTAGGGATAGAGATAGTAAAGAAGCTGTTCGCTTACTACCATTAGTGAATGAACCGAATAAAATTAAAATAGCAGGGGATGGCCTACTTCATTTGTCTTCATACAATGGCTGGTTAGATGTTACAAAAGATCTCATCACTAAATATCACTGTGACCCACACGAAAGAGATGGTGTGGATAGGACTTGTCTTCATTGGGCTGCAGAAGGCAATCATGTTGATGTAATCAAATATCTCATTGATGAGGACCACTGTGATCCAATGGCTGTTAACAAGTGGGGGTGGACACCTCTTCACTATGCTGCTGAATGGGGTCATTCTGCAGCTGTTGAATATTTACTATCAACTGGTAAATGTGATCTATTGGCTAAAGACAGTAAGGGGAGAACACCATTTGAACTAGCTAAGGGGAAAGGTCACACTGATGCTCTTTCTGTCTTTAAGAAGTTTGGTGGTATAAAATCATCTCATCCAATTGATTCTTATGTTAACGTCCTCCTTGTGGGTAATCCTGGAGCTGGTAAAAGTACTCTTAGTCATGTCATCAATGACACAGCTACTGGTTCTATTGCTCTTGGTTCCTTTAGAAATGTTGGAGGGGTAGTGCCCTGTACTGCTGGCATCATTCCTTATAAACTACGACACAGGACACTGGGTAACATCATTCTTCATGATTTTGCTGGTCATTCGGAATACTACTCCAGTCACAGTGCTGTCATTGAGAATCTCTTACAAGGTTCTGGTGGTGTGTTCCTGATAGTAGTCAATATATTGGAGAAGGAACCAGTCAAACAGCTTCATCAGTGGCTAACAGTTGTGAGAAATGAAGCACAGAAAGCTCTTAATCAATGCCATGTTATTGTAATAGTCAGTCATGTGGACGAGATAAGTAATTCTGTTGAAAGGAGAAGGAGAAAGGAAGAAATACAGGAGATTATCGTAAAGGAAAAGTGTGATAGCGTCTTCTTAGATTGTCGTAAGCTTGGTGGGAGTGGTGTGGATTCCTTCTATAATAAGTTGTCTAGTGCCTGTGAGTCCATTCGTAGTACAAGTGGAAGGAATTTGAGTCTTTATTGTCACATGATGTATGGTCTACTGGAGGAAAGGAAAGAGAATATACTGACCCTCTCTGATGTAATGTCTGCTGGTAAGGACAATGATGATTACTTTATACCAGATGAGAGAGAAGACGTCTTGGATGTTCTTCATTCATTGCACTCAACTGGTTTGATCAGTGTTCTTAAAAGTGAAGAGAAGGTATGGGTTGTTGTGAATAAGGGTATACTACTAACTGAGGTGGATGGGATTCTCTTTGCTCCAGAGACATTTGAAGAACACGTTGACATTGCTAGCAATACTGGTATTGTTAGTGTGTCTGGTCTGACTAGACTCTTCCCTAAATATGATCCTGACATGTTGATTCGTTTTCTGAAGAACATGGAACTCTGTCAAGAAATTAATCCATCTTTCCTA